AGTAGTCATAAATCACAACATAAACACATTAAATAAGTTCAACTCTTGAGGATGAGCAGATTTAAAACAAATATAATCTTTCTGTGGATTTTTACAATATTCATTTTCTGGTAGTTCTATTTTCATAATTGTTTTGCTATAATATTTTTACTTCTATTTCATGACTGTTGCATGCAGTGGTTTCATTAAGTTTAATTTCAAATTATGAAAATTTATAAATTAAACACCTAATAGCAAAGAAATATACACTGAACAATGAAAATGTAAATAATTTTATAACTGAGAAGTGACATGACAAATGCTTTTTTCTCTAAGAGTCTAATTATTTTTTAGGCAGTTTTCCCATTTCATATAGGAGTTTATTCTTACCAAAATCAATCATGGTGGACTTGAAGCATGTCATTTAACATTTAAATATCCTCTCTGATACTAAACCTTTTAGCATTTAACCCTTATGCTTAATATGATGAGAACATGATCCAATTGTTTACTTCCTACCTCACTAATAACCATCAGTCAAATACATAAAGATTGTCCCTTTCTGGACTCTTCTGACAGACAATTCAAATTCATATAGTTTTGCCTGTATTCAAAAACTCATTTGCCTACATATAACATGCTTTCCTTTTCTTGTTCTCTTGATTTTTGCAAATAATCTACAATTTATTCTGGACTGACATAGAAATCAAGTAAAAATTATAAGGGGAGAGAAAAACGCATATTAAAATTTATTTCCAGTGTCTGCTTTAAAATACTTAATTTTTTTTTTTTTTTAATAAACAATTTTTATAATTACGGTTTCCTCTTTTTTTAAAAATACCATGATAAATTCTACTTTTTGCACTATTATTTATATAAGTCTATTTTTTTCTTAAATTAATCCTTACAAGTTTAAGATAATTTCTTTTCTGATTGGCTAATTAAAAAAAAGTAATTCAGCACAAATTGTACAGCTGCAGAAACATGAACTCTGCAAGTGCTGCAATTGAGAAGAACAATAATGGCTGCTGTTATTGTTGTTAAACAGAGTTGCCATGGACCTTTTTGAATACAGTCCAACCATGGGCAAGGTTCAACTAGTTAAGAGATCCTCTTCATTCTTAGTTACAAGGTTGAAACTTAATAGCAATTGATGACCCTTCCTCCACTTACACACGTGCTTTGCAAATCTATGGTGGAAAAAAAAAAAAAAAAAAAAAAAAAAATTATAAAATGCTTTAGCTATTATCCCCCCCCAAAAAAAAGAGAGAGGGGGGGGAACAGGCTGCAGCTATGTTTCAAAATCAATAACACCATAAATCAACACATTGCATCAAGGAAAGCAAAATTTGTGGCCAATGGCTAGCATCCAATGTACATTAAAGGAGGATCTCTAATGTCAGGGATTTTAACATCAATTTTTCTGGTGGCCTCAATTGTACCAATATTTAGTGATTATGTGTAAATATCTGGTTACAGGAAACCAGAAAATCTTTACAACCATTTTCACAATGATCCCGTCATTTTAAGGAGACAATCATAAAATTCTCATTCTAAAATCCACATGGGTACTTTCTAAAGTTTTTAAAATTTAAAATTTATAATTTCAGTTTTAATACTTTGTCATTTAATTTCATCTTGCTACACTTTGGTAGGTTTTCTTATTTACTATATTGATATGTATTATGAGTGATGTAATTGTTCTCATTTGTATAAGAGGAGGAACACTGTGTGTGTGTGTATATATATATATATATATATATAGATAGATAGATAGAAGAGTAGATAAGTTTGCCTATTTTCCAGTTCACACTACTCCCCACTTTATGAACAGAAGTAGAGGTTTATCTGTTGTTGACAGTTTAGGACCGGGTTTCCAGTTCCTTCTAAAATCTTTTCATTTTCTTTCACTCTCAGTAGCCTCTTGTATCTTAGTTACATTATTACCTTGCTTGGGACGAATTGATTATATATATATATATATATATATATATATATATGAGAGAGAGAGAGTGTGAGAGAGAGAAATCATAAAACAGCAAGCATTATTTTGTGCTAACAAAATTATCTTTGTAAAAAAGGAAAATATAACATAATAATGCTGATTTTTCACTTTTTACAAGTTTCTATGGAAACAATTAGAATAATCCTCTAATACACTATATAGAGACTCAGAATAAATTACAACCAAGAATGAAGAGTAGACATGAAATCATGTGCAAAATTAAAAAAGAACTTAAATTTGATGGTTGTGCCCTGCTTATTAATACAAACACACATGCAAATGATACTTTTCAATCACTCTGTACATTAAAGTAACTCCCTATTTTATGTATGAGGAACTCTCCTGCCTAACAAGACAGGAGAGTCCACCATACATAAAATAGGGAGTTAGGGAGTTATTTTTCAGTCACCCTGAAAATCTCAACATAAATCAGATTACTGAATTTTGATGTTAAAAGCAAAATGTGAGGGGGTGTAGAAGAAGGTTGTCATCCCAACATACTTCCTAAAATCAATATTTTTCTTTTTTTAGGGTAGGTGGGGAGGTGTTAAAGAAACTTGAGAAACAATGTGCCAAGTGTGTTGAGCAGTGAGGTGAATATATGTAGTATTTTTCATGACTCT